TCCAGTGTGGCTGATGACATTTCCTCTATAGAAACCACTTGGTGTATGTGTTGTGGGTGCATGAGAACAGTCTGTGCCCTGACCTTGGGCTGTTCTCTCCTTCTGTTCCCAGGAGGGTCCATCCTGCTGGAGCAGTAGCCTCGAGCCTGCTTCTCATCTGTGGACAGCAGTGTTTGCACATGAATTAAGGCAGCACTTCTGGCAGAGATTTGAGTGTCTCTCTGCCTAGACAGCTAGGGAAGCTTATTGGTGTGGTGTGCCTCCTCTGTGTGGCTTTCCTTCCTGTCTCCTCACATCCAAGTGTGCTGTGCTGTGGGGACATTGCTCAGCCTGGCTGTGGCCCTGCGCTCTTTCCTGAGGCTGAAGAGCTGCTTCTCTCCACAGGCTTCATGGGCGCAGCGAGGAAAGTGATCAGCAAGAATCCCTGCACAAACTCCTGACTTCTGGAGGACTGAGCGAGGATTTCAGAACCCCTTATCCCTCCCTCAGAGCTAACGTTATTGAAGCTATTAATGAGATGCTGATAGAGCTAGGTACGACTGGGTCTGAACTGCTCCTGAGAGGAGCTTCTTATGGGATGGGACTGATGCTTCCCCCTTCTCTAGGTGGAAAGAAAACAGCAAGGATATGGGAGGCTTAATCTGAAGGAACTAAGGGACTGAAGCCCTGCTGCTACCAGGACTTAAACTAAGTCCTCTGCTTTACAGGGAGATGGGTGGAACATTGTGGAGGGAACAGCATGGGGAGTGTTGGCCTGTGCTCTTGGTCCTCTGGGAAGTCTTGAGTCCTCTGAAGAAGAGTCTAAAAAATATGCCAAGGTTGGACTTAATCCCTTTGCACATACAACCTGACCCTTGTCACAAAGCACCGTGATACATTTTTCTTTATCTGTGATACTTGTGACAGATCAGGGACCTGACTCGCCTTCTGAGGCCCAGGTTGCCTTGCTATTGAACTGCAAAACTGTTGAAGGGCTATGTGCATGGTGGTTATCTAGAGTAGTGCTGACACAATCCACTCCCCTCATGACAGAATTTTCAATAGAGCTATTTCTATGCATAGCTAGGACGCATGGGGCATTCAAAGGCCGGCTTCTTGGTCCCTCTCCCCTGGCAAAAAGAATGGGAAGAAAAGCTGCTCCTGCTCTATTAGTGCTCATAACATGGTTCTAGTGAAAAATTATCTTGTTGGAGGACAGTCCTAGCAGCACAAGTGTTGCTTTTCCACCTACGTCTTCCTTTTGTCGCAGAGGGCACCACTGATAACATTGCGATGCAGGCGCTGGAGCACATCCACTCCAATGAGGTGATCATGACCATCGGCTACTCGCGCACTGTTGAGGCCTTCCTGAAGGAAGCTGCCCGCAAGCGGAAGTTCCAGGTCATCGTGGCGGAGTGTGCGCCATTCTGCCAGGTAAGGCCTGGGCTGGCTGTCTTCTCCAGGCACCATCTTGTCCTGCGCATTCTTACTAAAAGCTTGTCCCTAGAGGCAAGTTGAACATTATGGAACTTCCTTTGCAGTTGAGAGGCTGGAGACGGCTTGTTATCCTACCCCAGCATCCTACAGTCAGAGGGCTGTATTTGTGTTCCATTGCTTGGTATTTTTGCAATTCAGACGAGAATTGAGTGCTGCTATCTCAACAACTGAACTGCAGGAGCTATGTCCCAGGGGACCAATTGGATTCTCCCTCTTTTTAGGGTCATGAAATGGCTGTCCGACTATCTAAAGAGAATATTGAAACTACTGTCATGAGTGATGCAGCTATTTTTGCTGTCATGTCTCGAGTCAACAAGGTAAGGAGGGCTTCATTAGAGGAGAGATTAATGGCAGGTTGAGTGCTTATGCCTCCTAAATGCAGGTCTCAGCAATGATGGATATATTTCTGAAGACTCAAAATTGTAATAGTCCCTGTTTACAGCTGGGGTGGAGATTGTCTGGAACCCTAAGTCAGTATGATGACGGAATGCATGGTGATAGGTTTTTTTGGTTTAGTGGCTTACAGGCAGAACAGTTACAAGAGAACCTCAAAGGATTAACCTCAGTTTTTAAAGAAGATGGAACAAAAAGCAGCATTTCCAAAGGGAAGAAACCCCCCTTGCCTGGAACACAAGATGGCTGGTGAAGGGAATCACCCTGGTGAAGGGTGTGTCTTTTCGAGCACACCTGTTCTGTACTTCTATAGAGATGAAGATGTGGCACCCCAAAGTAAAAAAAAAGAAAAAAAAAGTACCTGTAACATTAAAATCTAGCCACATTAATTCATTTCTATATATTTTAAGCTGCTTTACATTATTCCCATTTTACTGCAAGCAGTCAAATTACTTGTACAAAGTTTACTTTGTAGGCTTGTAGAACAACAGGGACCACAGCCCAGTTTTGGCTTGGTGTTCCCTGCAGTAGAACATACATTTGTCCTCTGAAGTTCTCTGTGCTGGCTTCACCATGCTGGAGTCATGTTCTTGTTAGAGAGGAACATCTCAGTGCAGAGCCAGTGCCAGATGAAACAGATCAGGCATCCAGCTGCCCTATAACTTCAGCCTTTGGCTGGCTGGCTGTTCTGACACGCTCCTCCTCCAGCTCATCTGTCAGGGTCCGAGCCAGGAAGTGTTCCTTCCCCAGTTTGCTGTGGAACATGCTATCTTCTAATGCTGATTTGCCCTTTTAAGGTCATCATTGGTACAAAGACAATCCTGGCCAATGGTGCCCTGATAGCTGTGAGTGGGACTCACACTCTGGCACTGGCAGCTAAACACCACTCCACTCCGCTCATCGTGTGTGCTCCCATGTTCAAGCTTTCACCACAGGTAAGTACAGCAGCCCTTCAGGACCGTACCTGCAGGGGCTTTTACTTGTGGGAGCTTAGGTTGGAGAGCACTATCTGCCAAGGTTGATAAATGAGCCATCTCCCCCATCTGGCACTGTTCCTTCAGACAAATCTGGCACACCTCAGGATCTCCTTGAAGCTCCCTCTTCTGCCCCATGTGCAAAGCAGAGCATTGGGTATAAGGATGTAGAGCACTGCCTACTAGAGACTGACATCACCGTACTTATTTTTCCTCAACCACAACAGATTTCAGTTTATACTATTAGTGTTGAAAGGCAGAGGAGGTAGAATGAGATGCTCAAAACTGTTTCTTACACTCAGTACTTTTTCAGTATTGTCAGATGAAGTTGCAGACTGAGGAAGTCACTGTTCCAGTTCCGTAGGCTTTGCAGAAGGCTCTAAAAGCTCTGAGGAAAAACCTTTCACTTTAGACATTAGAGAGGTTCTAGACATAGACACTATGTAATTACTGTAAACAGATGTAATATCACCTGGCAAGTCATCTTCCTCTCCCAGTAGTTCTCTCCAGTGCCAGGACCTGTTTTCACTAGGATAATCAAGTAGGTTGTTTTTTTCCTGACCTTCCTGTACTCCTTCTTTAGTTCCCTAATGAAGAAGACTCATTCCACAAGTTTGTGTCACCACAGGAAGTGCTGCCATTCACAGAAGGTACTGGTTCTTCTTCATATGTCTGGTCAAGCTGCTTCAGGCTATAGTTTTTAATTTTTTTTTTAATAACTCACATAAAAATTAAGTGTAAGACTGTCTTATAACCCAGGACAGAAAATCCTTTCCTATTGTCCTTAGCAGAGAAAAGTGCTGGGAACCATCTAATTTTGTAACTTTCTGTTACAGAAAGTGCAGAAAAAGGATTTCTTTTGAACGCTGTCTTTGCAGTTTTGCTTCAGCTCTGAAATAGTGTTTTATTACAGGATGGTGATAATGATGCCAGGCAGGTGGCAGTTTCCTGTGGGAGAGGGCAGATGGCCAACACTGAGGGCAGCTTCCGTTCTCTCCTATAACTTGTGTTAACCTTTGAAACCCAGTATCTCTGCAGTGAGCTTCCCACACAAGCACCATCTTTAGAAAGGCATCAGCACCCAAGCCCATTTTCAGATAGCAAAGTCTCTTCCAAAAGCCCCACTTCTATGTTACGACGACTTTTGAAATGAAGACACCAGGCTCCGCACCAGTTTTTAGTTTTGGCCTTGTGAGCATTTCTTTAAATAATAACTTCAGGGTGGCACGTGCATAGTCAGTTTGTTTAGGGGCTCAGGAAGATGTGCAGAAGGCTAAATGTACTTCAAGTCTAATATTGCTGCTATTCACTTTACAGGGGAGATCCTGGCAAAGATCAACGTTCACTGCCCAGTTTTTGACTATGTCCCTCCAGAGCTCATTACTCTCTTCATTTCTAACATTGGGGGTAATGCACCTTCTTACATCTACCGCCTCATGAGCGAGCTCTACCATCCAGATGACTACGAACTCTAATACTGTGAAGCACCTTACTCTCCAGACTCTTCTCTTTATCTTTAGAAAGATACAACAGCTAATTCAAGTGTACATTACAAAGACAGGTTGCTGTGGGAAAGCAGTGGGGAATTTGCTCAGCAATGTCTTTCCTACCCAAAAGCAGCAGAAGGCAGAGCTTGTGTACAGATTTTGACTTCTGTGCTGTGTTAGAAACTGTGTGGAGCTGCTAAGCCACTTTGATTTTGAAGCAAGGCATATGTGTAAATCTGGGGCAGCTAGGCTGTTACTTCAAAGTGCGCTGCAATAAAGGCTGTTTACAGTGATCTCACTGTTAAGCACATTTTCCATAAGCAGTTGTTTTGTTTGTTTAACTAGCAGGAGTTTTACTAGTGTAATAAGTTGGCTGCACCTATGATGCAGCAGCACGCTTTATGGTGTGCTTCCACATGCAAATGTGATAGGAATGGGAATCCATTAGCAGTTGTCTTCAAAATGGATATTTAACTACTTAGTTACTTCTGTGGGGTTATACTGGGATTTATAAATCTCTCACTCAAGAGTGGAAGCTCCAAGGAGCTGGAGAAAGCAGCTGGGTGTGTCATTCATTGCCTAGTTAAATGTTCTTTTGATTCTAAATTGGCCTATATATACTATGAAGCTGGTCGGTCCTCATTCCAACCACTGCCATGAGCCCAAAGAGTGAGTTCAGTATTAATTTTATTAAGAAATACCTCCCAATTTTCAAAGCACTTTCATTAAATACACTATTTCATAAAATACACAAATTCAGTTCCTCTCTCTATTATGCAGAATCATGCTGTGCTTGCAGGAAAAAAGTGCTTTGCTTTAGTAACTGCGAGTTTCTGCAACTCCTTGCATCCCCGAGTCAAGCACTGACATAGGGCCCAGACTTAGAGCACAATTCCTTAATGTTGAAGATGCTTCTCCAGGCTACAAGGGGTGGGCTTCTCCTGCCATGTTCTCCTGGCTGGTCTCTGCTTCTTAGGTCAGTACCTGGAGCAGAACTTTGGTGAATGCACTGGCTCAGAACTTGGCTCCACACAGGATATTGTTTAATAACAAGGCTCATGGATCATACCAACACTTCTAGAGGTTGCAGCTTACAGTCTTAACTTTTTTTGAATAGGGTCCTTTTTTTCCAAATAGCTGCCATGCTTGCACCATCTTCCGCAGTCTAGTCAAATTAGGTTTAGGCTGGAGGGAGAAAAATTAAGAAGCACTAAATCATCAGTGAGTAAATGAGCTTCAAGGTTTCTATACTCTTTGCCTTAATACTGTCATTCCAAAGTTTTTCTAATATCTAATTCAAAGTCCCATCTGACTTTCAACAGAATCCAATTAATAACAATAAGCACAGTAATAGCAAAAGGGAGGAGTAATGATTTTGTTTTAAATTTAAATGTAACTTGATCTAGTGGAAGGCATTCCTGCCCATGGCAGGTGGGGTTGGAACTAGATGATCTTTAAAGTCTCTTCCAACCCAAACCACTCTATGATTTTATAATAAGTGTTGCTATTCCTTTGTTTTTTCCCCATTTTATAGCATCTTAAACTTTGGGGAAGTAGGCTTTTTTTTTTAAATTAGCATCTTTGCCACTAGTAGAATATCAGAATTCATATGCTTTCTAAGTTTTACACTTAAAAACTGCCATTACTTTAAATGTATGCTTAACCTTAAGGACACTATTCAAGTCAATGTGACCATTCAAATGATATATGGTAAAATCCTTGCTAAAGTGTTCACAGGACAGATGATTTATGTTCTAAAATGTTCTGACTGGTAACAATATGTAAAAAGTCAAGTAATATAAAGCCAGTGGAGGGTTTTTCAAACTGGCCTATTGTAGTTCTAACACACTACATGATGTGCCTCTGATAATCCAGAGTGCAGATTACCAGAGGTGAGTCCAACACAGTACCTGTTCTTCCTGCTGTAGATGGTCTATGTCTGCAAGAGGTAGCATGGAAGGTCTTCCATGAGCACACTGGAAGGGCAGCTTGCAAGACGACAAAGCTTCAATAAGCCCACAGCTCTCCTCCAAAGTCAAATGCTCATTAAACTTAATAGCTCCTGAAAAATATATACAAATTCTTACACATGCTGCCAAAGAGAATTCCACTTCCCTCTACAACTGTGGTTTTCACTAAAACAAGGCATCTCCCAAAGATTAGCTGGTAGGCTGCAAAAGCAACCCAAAGGCTGCAGTATGGCAGACTTGGGGCTTGGGTCAATTAAACAGCCTGATGCATAAGGATCAGCTTTCCATGGCCTAAACTTTCACCTAACCCACGTTCAATGGATGGTAAAATTATTAGGTTTTGTTTTTTCAGGTGATGTCATAGGAAGCAAGTGGGCTTTTTTGTGTGTGTTATGGCTGAAGACCAGTTCACATATCAAAAAGTATTAAACAAAGACAGCGGTTAATATCAGTCCCACAGGCTTTATTGGTTCTGTGTGGCTGCCACTGACAGGCATCACTTCTGAGACCAAATGCTAGCCCTGCCAGTAAGTCCTTTTTCATAGGTGAGCACTTAATGGCATGCAGAGGAAATCCAAGCAGAACAGTAGGGAGTCATTTTAGAGGTGTTTGCAAATTTTAGCCTTCACAGATGCACAAGACCATCTGCAATCTGCCTTCCAGCCATGGGACTTTTTTAGATATAAAACAAAAAATATGTATTGACTGCCAATTGTAGAATGCAGTGACACTTGAGAAAACAGATGCTTGCGGTTCACGTTTACCCCCACAGCACGATGTTGTTGATATTATAGCATCGGAACTGCTGCAAGAGCCTGGAGCTACTGCAGTCTACACCTTTAAGGTCTGCTCATTGCCAGGTACTGGAAAGCGACAGTCCCTGAGAACATGTAAATTTTTACTGCACTCCTTCCAAAAGTACCTGAGAGGTCATAGGCAGAGTTAAACTAGCACTTTTGATACTTAAAGGAAATAAAAAGTTTGGAAAGAGCAGCTAAGTTTTCCTTCCCACTTGCTTTCGAGCAGATTTCAGCACATTCCCCCTTGGCACTTCATAGAGCTGTTATTTGAATGGTTCAGAGTTCACAGAGATGACTGTGTCTCAGAACTGTATTCTACCTATGTTTCATGTGAAGGTTGGAAAGTATGTTAGGCCCATACATGAATAAATCAGAGCAGTACTGCTTGTCCCTCAGTGCTTTCCACGATAAGACTATTAACCTCTCATCCCTAAGAAATACACAGTCTGTATTCCTGCTATATCTGCAAACACATCCTGAAAACACTGCCCCAGGGAGGATGTAGTGTAGAAACAGAAAGGTTCAAAAAAAGAAAGAGAAGAATGAAAGAAAAGTACAGTTTCCCTACCATGACAGGCCTGGGAAGCTAACACCTTCAGAAACGTCAGAGGCAGTGTCCCTCGTGCTCCTCCTCCTGTGGTCTGCACTAGCTAAAAGCAGAAAGGGAACATTATCTTACTTTCCATTTAATATGAGAACAAAGAACTGTAACACAAAGGCAACTAAAAATGAGGACAAGCTAGTGGATTATCTAGTCCACCTCTGTCACCTGAAGCTGAACACACTCCCTTTGGTTCATGCAGTAAGCTTTGGATTGTTACAGTCAACTTAAGAAGCAGAGAGCAACTCACCTCAATTTGTTCTTGAATAAGCTCCTGAAAAGAAAAAAGGTAGTATCAGTTGTTATTTCTCCCTTTCATCCCTCTACCCTACTTTGTCCACATCTGTGCATCATTTACTGTGTAACTGCCAGAACCAGGAAAAATTATGCTTTTGATAGTACACTGACCACAGTGTGAAAGATCTAGGTGGAAGTCCTGACCTCTCACAAGTATCCTATCAGACTTCAGACCAATCACTTGGTTTCTCTCTGCATCACTTTCCTATCTGCAGAATGGGCATAATGGAACTCATCTCTCAGAGTGCCACAAAATGCATGTTATCTTTGAATAGCTGCCCTTTCTTCTTTGGATAATAACTAGTCCATGTGGATTTCATTTCTGATATCTAAAATGCAATAAATTCATAATTAATCCTGAATAGCTGCATCAAGATCTATTTAAAATAAAAAGGACTGCAGAATAGATCTGCCCAAATGCTCATGAGATCTTGAGGCATCAGCTAAGAATGAGTGCTCGTAATGCACACATCTGATCCCCTCCTCTGCCACTTCTGATACTCTTGACTCCCAAATCACATCAGGAGAGTGCATTTTGAGTTCTTAGTGATTACAGCAAGGTTGGAAAAGAAAATTTAATCAAATTAATCAACTTCTCTGTTTCTTCTTTTCATATCAAAAGAGATGTATGGCAAGATTGGACAGATTCTCAACTTAGCCCAATGTCTGAATGTGGTACTCCAAAACCAATTTTTAAGAAGTTTAAGAGCAGCTGTGATTGTGGAGGACGGTTTACAACGGAAACCGCAAGTAATCAGTTCAGAAATTTCTCCCTCACACTGCAAAACATCTGGAACAGTGTCTTTTAGGAAGCTGCACTGCCCATGGAGAGATTTCAAGAAAAGAAGTTTAATATTGCTGATACATAAATACCGTTTGTTAGAATTTAATAATTTTACTGTTCCTTCAAGCATTTACTGTTCATTCAGCATTCACAAGCAGTAAACTGTTGAAACATCTGTCCTATGTATAATTTTTCTTAGCTTTTCCACTATCCAAGTCTGAAACAGTCTCCTATCATTTCAGTTATAGTTCAGTGATTTCCATTGTGGGACTACTTAGCTACTGAAAGGAATGGCACTCGCATTTGCCAAGGGACACCATCTCCCTCCTAACGGAGATACTGTAATACCCGGGGCCATTAACACAGAACAAGACCTAGTACTGTAACTTCACCCACATCCATAGCTGACCTCCACAATACTTTTAGTAATAGGTTGTCTTTTCCGTCGTAATTCATTGGCTTCTCTTTCCATAAAACACATTGGCACTTTCCTCACAAGAATCAAGGAGCTGTTTGCCTCAGGAAACAATAATTCAAGACCCAAGTCCACCAAATTTTTGTTGCAGCATCTGAGGGAAAAAAAACCCAGAAATAAGACATCAATCACAGTAGCTATGTCTTCACAGCATAGGTAAATATTTCTGTACTCCACATATATTTCTTCCTGTAACAGTTTCCCATCTCAAAATCCATGCATCATGAGATTCCAAGTACTTCTGCCCTTTCAGCCTACATTCAGCCATGTTTTTCCACTCCAATCAAATATGTATTTTTCATGCTCCACAAGCACAAGATCTAAGAGTTCCTGTATTATTTGGAGAGAAGCTTTATGTCTAAATTTATAAATCTACTTTTTTGAAGATGCACAAGGTGCCTGGTTCAACACACAAACATTCAAAATATTAAAATTACACATCATTAAGACTGCTTTAACCTAAAACAACTGTGGTTTCAAATGACATGTATTAGCAAATACTTAAAATGGAAAAAATACTGTAAGAAATTTATAATGGTTTAATGAACTTTATATTCCGTAAGCAAAGAGAACACAGGGAAGAACAACCTCCAGCTAATGATGACATATGTCAACCTGTGGATGGAAAAATACACACAAAAATGAGACTTCACAGTCAGATGAGAACTTATCTTCAAAATGAAAACAACTTTATTTTTTTAATTCAGGAAATATTCACTGAAAGGTGGTAAAGGTCAGTTTTAGAAAAGAGATTCTTTGAACAAAGGAAGAAGTTAATCTAAACTTACTAAAATCAGTCACGAGAATAATACAATTATTAGCCTCCATATGGAGATGGCTTGTGTAATTCTAGCCAAAAAAAGAAGAGCGCACAGAAAGACAGAGAAAGCCCATTGTAGGAAAATGACAAAATCCAAGCAGCTATTGAAGTCAATCAGGTTTGGTTTTTTTTTTAATTAAGGGAAAAAATAAAGAAGGAAGTTCAAGAGAGTCAACAGAACAATGCATTACTACAATGCTCAGTCAACAAACAGAACCAAAGCTGCAGGTGAACCAGAGATCCAGCTGAACTATTATATTGCAACCATAGCTGAAGAGAAAGGGCTTTTAGACATGTTAATTAATTTAATTACATCAAAATTTACCACAGAATACATTCATAGTCTGCCAGTAACAATAACAACACACTTTAGATTTTTACATTATACTTTTAATTCATTACCTTTTAGTAATGATAGTCTCACAGAGTGATTGCAAAGGGATGAACTGCTAATACATACTAAAAAATTATAAAGTCACACAATAAAAGTACTAGTAAGCCAGTACCAGTATAGCCCACCACTAGTAATCTTCTTGCTTATGAATTATCAATCAATTATCTTAAGCATTAACTGAAAACCACAACTGGCATCCCCTGTGCTGAATATTCAACCAGTGCCCTTAAAAGAAAGACATGCCTTTCTGATGTACTTTCCTACTGATTTTTGTAGAACATTTGTGATTTAGCTGATGAAGAAAAGTAGCTCTCAGAATTTATTAGCTCTTTCAAAAACACTTTGATGCCGCCTCTTAAAAGCAGCTAAAAAAAGGAACGCAAAAAGTCGTCATGCACAGAGAAGTAACATTTGTCATGATTTAGCAACTACGGAAAGAAGGTAAGCTGGCAACAGATGGTCAATGGTCAACATGAATCTTGATGTGTATCTTCATGACTTTATTAATGATATGGAAAAAGGACACGGTCAAGCAAGCAAATTTGTAGAAAACATGAAATTATTTAGGTTAACTGAGAATAGAGACAAAGTTGAACTCAATCAGAATTTAAAACAAGTAGAAAAATGATGATTGAAATCTGTAGGATGAACAAAAAAGGAATAATGGAAAATGACAGAAAAACCGCTCTTAAAGAAAAATAAATAAAAATTATCAGAATAATTTAATCTATTTCTACTTTTGGTTGGCTTCTACATAAATAGCAAAAATTAAAAAAATAACCCCCACAACTCTGTGTTTCCCTGTCATGACAATCAATAGATACACAGTTCATGCAAGCAGCATTGGCAAAAAAGCAGACAAAATATCAGGTGTGGATATAATAAACAAAAAATATGGGCACAGCTAAAAAGCTACTGTATGAAGCAATGGGATACCCTCACTTGGTATATTGTCTTCAATTTTGGCCATGCATTCTCAAAAGTAGATATATCAGAAATGGAAGACACTCACAGATGAGCGCAAAAATAAATCAAAGTTGAACAAAAGGCATTACAAATATTGTAATGTTAGCAAGATCATCATTAAGAGGTGGGAACGACGAAAGCATTTAAATATTACTGAACTATGAACAACATGGAGCAAGTGTATACTTTAACAGGCAACAATCTTAGTAAGGTCTGATTTAGAAGCTGTTGAATTTACTAGAGGCATCCCAAAAAAGAAAAAAAGAGCAGTAATGAGGTAGTCCTGATAGAACTTCACTTGTAAACAATGAACAATGCAGTGAGAAAAACCCCCAAAAGTGCATGTGGCACCTGACAGACAGGGATCTGGGGGGAAAAAAGTCTGATTACTGTCCAATAGATCTTCAACAGCCCAACATCAAATTTGTATCTAAACTGTTGCAGTACAAAAGTTAAATATCCTAATAGTAGTGAGGCCACCATTCTGAAACATTTGGGAAAAGTGTTCATTAACTACTCTTGGCAGGTGCCTATGAATAAGGAATGTGTTTTTGAAGGATTCACAATACAAACTTTCCATACCCCATCCTTATCTTCTCAAACATTGTCTGTAAAATCAGTACCTAAGTTGACACTATGGGCACCACACTCCATTGTGCACTCCCAAGTCCTGAGCCCCAGACAGCAGGAACTGTTGGAGGCTGCTTTGGCCCACACATGAAGGTTTATTTTCCCAGGGAAATCAGAGCACATTACAAAGGCACAGAAATGGCACACCACAGGGTTTTGACTCGAGATGTTGTAACAACGTGCCGAAGAAGCATATCTATTTTCCTCAGCACAGACAGAGCCAATTGGGCTTGGCTCAGGAAAGAATCAACAACTTCTCTCCTGAGCTTCATGGTAACCCAGCAATACACAGAGATCCTCCTGGTCAACAGAGACATCCCCAAAAATTTAGAGCTATTTGCCATTACTAACCGTAGAAATCTTCTTTGCTCTTCTGTAACTTCAATCTCCAAAGGGGGAGAGATGGAGGACGACAGTATTTTCTTCTTGCCACATGCTGAAGTTTCCTTCTCATAGGAATCTGTGAATGAAACAGTTAGAAGTATCCCCTCTTAAAATATTTACGCAGGCATTACCCTTAATGACCCTCTGGTTTGGCTTGTAATCCCCTGCTTGGATTAAAAAGTGACCACAGAATGCCTTCTCCTGAAACTTGTGGAGGACTGGGAATGTCACAAACCAGACATCCAGTCTCTGGGGAAGGGCTGGTTAATGCCACTTTGTTTTTTCCCACCAGTTTCAAAAAAGAGTCACCCTAAATAGCAAAAAAAACCCCCACTGATATATTTGGTTCAACTCGGAGCAATTTTTTCACAGAAAAGTCCAATATAAATGGAGTTAAAATACTATTCATTAAGCATTTCTCCCTTCAGTCTTTAATTTTTTCAGTACCTGACCAAAAAGAGCAGAGTTCCTGGAACACTCTTTGCAGGAACTACGCAGTATTTGTTGATGAAAGAGAAGGTCAACGATTTTAAAGTACTTGATGGATGGCTATTGTGCTTTTTAACACTGAAACCAATGGCTAATGAGCTTACACAGAAGACTATTATCCCTTTGCAAACAGTTTCAGACTGCGGAAATTTTAAGCTTTAAGCACAGTATTCAGCTAAAAAGGAACCAAATGAACTATGCTCTTTACTCTGCATACCATGTCTTATTCTTCCCAGCATAACCACATAAACTTATTGATGTTGTTCTATTTCCTCTTCATTGTTTTTCCTATCAGTCTTCCTGCTCTTTCATTATGTCAGGACTATTTTAGTTCAATAGTTTTGTGGGTAGGGAATATATCTTCTATTTTTGGAAATGCTGTAACAATTTTCAGCTGCCAATATTATGACTGCTACAGATACTGAATGTCTGCACTCTCCTAGGGATCAGGATAAAGATGGCAAATGAATATCTTATTGGTTCCATACACCCTAGACAGCTCATCTGTACTTTTCTGTGCTCTGATTATCTTTTTTTCTAAGACCACCTGAATTCTCACCTGCAATAAGCTGCTCCAAGCGGATCCGTTCATGAGCTGCATGTTGGTCCACCAAAATTAAGAGGTTTCCATCTAAAAACATATCACAACAGATGAGAAATAGGCAAATTTGTACCAGACAACTGCACGGATCAGGAAGAATAACCACTTCCCAGGGGCCACATTTAGAAGATAACTATCAGCCTGTTTCACAGAAACAAAGTGAGGAGGAGGCTGTGTTGGCAGAACATAAAGTCACTATAGAACAGAAATTTAGTGATCCAAATTGGCGGTTAAATTAAGGTAATTAAATTGAGTCAGAAACTCTTGTCTATTGACATCTTCATCTAACTTCATAAAGAAAGCTGAGTCATCCACAAACTGTTCTGTTTAATACAGTCTTTTAAAATGTTACAAAACCTACTGATTTTGAATGCCTTTTTTGTACAGCTTCAGAGAGCTTCAACAATGAGTATGTCCAGACACTGTGAACTGAGTCTGAAAGATGTTAGCAATTTGAGTACAATCTATTTTTATAACATTAATCTGAAGGCAGTAGGAACACTCAACAACATCCAAAATAAAGATAAAGAAGATCCAAGAAATTTCAAGCGAAGCCTAACATTTTCCTCTACTCAGAATATCATCCCAAAGCAAGAAGAGATTACAAAGAGAACAGTGTTCCCTCTGCAATCTAACCACACTTGACAGTCAACATAGCTTCACGCTATCAACCACTCTTACCTGCCTTTTTATCCATTTCATTCCTAGTGTTAATTAAACAAGCGATAAATTTATTGTCCACTTGCTGAAGAACCTGTAAGATACTCATAAAAATCATTATAGAGCAGTAAAATTATTTTTAAAATGAAGGCAAACAAAAGAAACAACAATCAAAATGGATCAAGAACAACAAATACCTAGCAGGACGACTAGGGGAGTGGAAACCACATCTTTCCCAACCCAAAAGGCTTAAAGGATTTGGCCTAGCAAAACTAGACTGAGAAGGTGTATAGTTATTTTTTTATAAATACAGTGGGGGACTAAACATGGAAAAGGCAGAAATTATTTAAGCTAAAACATAATACCAGCAGAAGATCAAATTACCATTAAATGGTCATGAAACAGTTTCATCTGGAGCTAAGAGAAAGTTTCAAGATATAAAAAAAAATAATTCTGGATCAATTTTTTCAAAGATAAGGGCAAGCATGCTAATTGTTCTTGAAGGTTGTAGAAACCTCCTTGAGTTGGGAATGAAAGATGTGCACAGTGAATCAGAGTATTTTAATTGTTGATACCACCAAAAGAGAATGAAAACAACCCTTTTTAACCTGCTGATCATCTGCAGAAGACAGGAAACTTTTTTCCTCCTCATTTTTTGATGTAGAATTTGCCTCTGTGTCTTGATTTCACCTTTCTCTCAAGCATCAGAAATCAACCAGAGCAACTGAGAAGGGGTGCACAATGCTTTCAGTATCTTATTGTTAGATTTCAAATATTCAGATGTGATGTTACAGAGGAATTTCTCCCCAGCTCATATAGACAGAGCTCACTCTGAATTCTCTGTCTTACAACATGTGCATTGTTCATCTGCTAGGTAAAAATGAATGGATGATTCTATTTCTTTGCAGGGATGCAAGACATTAATGATTTTTTTTATTCTTTTCCTGTCGCATGACACAATGTTTTGTGCTTTTGGTCTCCTCTACTGATATTCTCAAAATTGCTATAGGGTACTGAAGGTAGTATTCAGATTTTTCAGAGATGGGAAGTGGTAATGGTACCTTCCATTTTCCATCTTTCCTCTCCTGTCTTTGTGAAACATAAACTGTTCGCTGCAGTAACTTTATTTACTCCTGTTATTCCTGCACTCACAACATAATTAAGGGAATCATGTGGATCCTTGTCCACCCTGGAGATCAACATTACCATGCCCCGCACAGTCAGAACCTGCAATCTTGAAGTCAGCAACCTGACTCCCTAAGAATAATGCTAACTGGGCCTGTAAGTCTTTTGTCACTGGGATGCAAGACAGGGAGGGAATCCACTCTGGCATTTCTACCCAGGCAAACTATCAAAGAATGTAAGTTGAAGCCATACATTTACATTTGCTTTTAAGTTAATATTCAAAACATTTGATAAAAAAAGCACTAAGTTAAACTTGATGTTATGATGCCATTTTGCCATATTTAAAAATCACTTTTAAGGGCAGATACAAATCTTAAGGTGCAATTTCAAGTTTTTCCATTAAATCTGGAATTTGCTTTTGAAATCACTCTGCTGGGGAACTAAATTTCTAAGGTCAACAAAAATGGAAGATACAGGACAGAGATTTCAGATAAACGTGAACTAAACAAATGCCTACAACAAATATAAAAAACTGTCCATTGCTATCATTTAGTTAGTAGTGTTTCCAAGCAGCAGTAGCAGGGCTCTCTCTTGATTCTGACTTAACCATACTAGTCAAGTAATTTTAGAGTCACTTGCAGATAGCTGATTAACCATGAAATGATACTAATATCTGGCATGACATATGTGTCTGCTGTCATCACACAGCAACCAAGAATTCTGTCAGTGCTTGTGAAAATTAGCAATATGATCTGTTTTCCTGAATACGTCTTTCCCACCAGGTACAAACATCAGCAAATCCTATATGCTCAGTGGGAATTTGTGGGTGAAAGCTAGTAATACAATAAAACCAGTAATAAAAGAATAGATTATATTGTACCTGCATTGAATGAACCATGTCTTTGGTGAAACGATAAGGATACAAGATATTGTGAATTTTCACAGCCAGATTGTCGGCCTGACCACTGGTCACATCAACTGCAATCTGTAAAAAGAGAATTACAGATCAAACAGGCTGTAAGGGATATGTCAAAAAATCCCAAACATATATTGAATATTCAAAAAAACCAGTTTTAATAAAAACTGGAAATAACTGTATCTTGCAAACCGAGCTTTCTACACAAGAATAACACTAGCTAAAAAACCATCCTGCAATCCCTCTGCTTCTATCCCCAAATATTTTTCCCACCTGGATATTACCTGATAACTTCAATGCATTCAGCTGATTTCAAGTACCTATAGCAAAGCTGAAGTTAAATATCAGCCTACGTGAGCTCTCAGTGGATCTCATTACAAAAGCTGTGTTGCCCTGAAATGAGTCAGAGCACACGTCACCGAAAGGACTGAACAGAACTGTTCCCTTCCAGAAACTCACCAGCAGGTGGTTTGCTGCTCCATTCCTATTGTTTGCAGGTGGAAATGGTTACATACATATGTTTATATGCACACAACATGAGGATTAAAGATAATGCTACCTCATGACAGCAAAGGAAGTTTCTCAGAAAGCTCCAACATTGTTTTTCTCTCATAGGCTGTAATCCTGCCAGGCTATAAAAACAGCTATAGTAAAATACACTTTTAAGACCCGTTGCATACCAGAGAAAGAAACCTGGGTTATTTAGCTCTGTCCACAAAGTGGACAGACACTATATCACTATTTTGCCATTCAATAGCTTTTGATTTTAAGACAACTATCTCTGTAGAGGGAAGACAGTTTATAATGTTTTGCTTTTGAAACGACATAAGGTAAAAGATTAGCCTGATACCTGCATCTCTGACTTTGAATAAATCCACAACAATGACTTGCATCTAAACAGTCTCTAAAACCACAAAACTGCCAGGTCTATTGTCTAATATATCTCCAAATAACTTATATGCAACAATTACAATAATTGCAATTTTGGTCCCAATGTCAGAAAATAACAGGTTAAAATGATTCCTATTTTAGCATGAGATGCAAGGTAATACCTACCTCTGGGCAGGGAACAAAAACAGGATTATTCCATTCCAAAAGCAATGACTGGAGAGACTCCCCTTCAACATCTAGGAAAGAACACATAGATAATACAGGGACTATCACCATCTGTCAATAGAAGGTTTGTTAGGTACCTCTATCTCACACAAGTACTATTTAATTTTTTACTTCCATAAAAAGGGGGAGAGTGTACAAACAAATAAGGGAACGTGAGACTAGGCTTCTGTACTGTCTGCTTTAACTAGGAAGGGTACTGTGCAGCTTTCTGACTCCTAAAAATGCTGCAGCACAATTCAACAGCCCTGGAAATGGGGGGGGGGGCAATGTGAAGGGAAAGAAAGACCTGTTTAGCTACCCACTCCCTCTGGACAAAGTTACATACCAAAAAGATTATTTCATCATTTCCACTGCAAAAAAAAAGGTGAGGATTGAAGTTATTTGTCACATTCCAAAGTTGGAATGAGTACAAAGAAGGGAGTAGGTAATTATTCTTTAAACTACTGACAGAATCCAACAAAGAACTGGGTATTTCATCCTGTAAATAAGTATCCCCTAACCTGCCTTCAACCCTAAAAGTTTTTTTTCCCAGTTCTAGATTTGAGATGACTCACACAGTCCCATTGTTAACAGACCTTGAGTAATTCTGGGTTCCTGTTGGGACATCTGGGAGAATTCTTTGATTTGTTTTTACCACAGAACACTATGTCCTGGAAAGCTGGCCCTACCTCTCAGATCCTGGCTTGCCTGAGTCTTCTCATTTTGAGGTCTAGGAAGGAAGGGTAACACAATCTCACTTCTAAAAGGATGGCATCTGAACTGAAACCCTAAACACAAAATAAATTTACTGCTGCAGAATCAACAGCATGCAAAATTACTAAAAGCTATACGATTATTATATTCTTATAAAGCAGCATGTGCTTAGCCCTACGCAAATTAGAACATCCCACAGGTTGTGCAATATTGACACATATGTAAAAAGCGGAGAATTATCAGACACACCTGCATCAGAAAACATATTTAGAAATATTACCATGGCTTCTGCAGGACTGTACTTAAAAATTGGCTGCTGCTTTAAACTGGTAGCAATTTCCAGAATTAGTGCAATCAGAAGTGTCATCTCCAAAGAAAAAGAGGAGGCATATAGTAGTCTACCAGAGATCAAAACACTGTTGAATTCCCTCTATCAAGGAGTAGCAAAACTGTCAATATATCACCATTCCTATCAGTATTTAATACAGTTATCAGGAATTTGTAAAACTGAAAACTACAAGTCAGTGAGCCCTCATGAGATATCACAATTAGCCTAACAACGTGTTCCTACCACCCAGAAATGATTTAATATTACAAACCTGTATTCTTATCAAGAGTATTAAGAAAAGTGGCTCACATTTCCAGCACAGTGGTAAACATTTCACCCTTCCTTTAGTACAATTCAGACTTCTATTCTTTGTGAAATAATAATGAATTAATAAAGTTCCTTTCTACTGAGAAATTAAGGGTGTGCATTCAGGAAAAGTGGTAGAGTGATAACGCCAAAGAAAAGCAGCTGTGTGCTGATAAGCTCAGTGTGAAAAGGCTCTATGAGATCTTAGACCAGGCCATAGATTCCTGACTGCTGGCTCCATTCCAGTGAGGATCAGTGACGGTCCTACCCTGGGGACTGAGAGTCCTTTGAGAATCCAAACCAGCAGCCCAGCACTGGAGAGTAACTCAGTATCCCATTGTCACAAAACCCAGAACAGAGGACAAGATGGCCTGACATGGTTTCTGGTAAACTGTGGCAAATTGAAGAATGCTGCCTAATTCAGACTTTGACAGAACTTTTATAGCTACTGCCATGGAAAGATATTAACTCTCAAGAATCTATCATTTATATCAACACAAGTCCAGTATTTTATACATGTAATAGACAAAGAGTCATCTCCCTGTTTCTTCTTGCAGGGAAAATCCTTCTTCAGGATATATATTGTTCATAAAGTTAGGATTGATTTTCTTGCTCAAAGGCCAGTGAGATTTCAGAGCTGGCAGAGATATAATTAATATGATTCTTCTGACAAGTAACATCAAAAAAGGTGTTGAGGATAACAACGTATCTACTTTATACAGGCAAACCCCGTACAATTACCATACTTGAGCATTCGTTTTCACTTGCCTCAATCAGATCATTAGGATATATCAGTGTAACAACAGAGAATAACATAAGTAACAAAAATTGCAAACATAGCTGGTGTAGCAACAAAGACAAAGTTGAACTGGGATGTTATCCTACTACAAATGCATTATTCAAAAAGGCATCTGATGGTGAAATGAAGCCTGATAAAATTTCCTGTAGCAATCAGTTTTATCGGTACAAAGATGTCTGACTCTAACCTACAAAATCTAGCATCTCTGTTGAGCATGTAGCTTGTGACTGGAAAAGATGGCAGATGGCTACTGCTGTCACAGAAAAGAGGATATGCATTATTCTTACCTCCTTCTACCTGTCAGTAACTAATTTCCCTAAAATTGTATATGAGATGCTGTTCTTAATAAATCATGGAGCTATGAAATTCTAAGTCAACACCATGGGCTTACTGACACTACTTTAAAGAGCAAACTGAAAGCATATATAGCAAGTGAAGAAATCATTCTGCTCCTGGATCTTAACAGCAGTCCAAAACAGCGCTCAACACCAGGAGATGCAAATGTTGCGTTAAGACACAGTTATGTTTATTCCTATGGCTGAAAGGAAGGACTATCCTTTGCTTGAAAAACATGTGAAAGAACGTATCTGTTGAACTTTGAAAACCTAAGATCTATAGGGTCTAGCCACAGTTCAAATACCTCGTGAAGGTTTGGGAGGTCTGACCCTCAATCTAAGAAAAGCAAAAAAGCAGACACCTCACCAAAAAAGTGATAGGGTTAAGAAAGACTGGCACCACTGATACAACAGAGAGTAACACAATGGAGGTATCATGGGAGGTAAAAAGATACAATATACATCTTGAAAACAGACTATACATCATCTGAAAGGGTACCTGAGGTATTCTCTTTATAAACATGAATGCACTATCCAAACATTCTGGATAGAAGGTCAACTTCTACAACTCAGGGCTTTGGCCAGCTACTAAACACCACTGTGAGCAATAAAATTGGCAAACCACAGAAATTAAAAGTGTTAGTCAAGGAGTGTATCTTTGTGCTTGCAAGTAGCTTTACCTAATAAAAACTTGCATGAAATTTTCTTCAATGGAACACAATATATATTAAAAATTGCTGGCATCAATTATTACACTTAAAGGGAATAACTTATCAATTGCAACACTACTGCACCAGTGTTTCTGTGACTAGTGACAAAAAAGGAAGTAACAGACAAAAATAGAAGAAACCAGAAGCTATGAGGATTGATTAGACAAATATTTTACAGAACTATCTAGAAAGAAGTCCAAACTACTTTTTCAAAACAAATTATGCAGTAGAAAATAGAGTCTACATGAGGAATGGTTGCATCTTCGCTCACAAAAATTGCCTATAGACAGAACAAAGAACAACTTGAAAACACAGATATATCCCTGGAAGGGAAAATTATCAAAGACAGTATTCTGCTGAGCCAGATCAGAAGGATGTGGAAAGTCAAAACCCGCCACATAGATCAACGAAGACTCAAGAACACCATACCCCTGGAAAACCAATACAAAGCAGTGTCCTTTTGCTAATGGAAAAGCCACCAACAATGCTGTACAACACCTGCTACAAATTGTGAAGGAACAGCCTGCCTTCCAAATTCCATGGAAAGGAAACTACACATTCACAATGAAGTTAGATTTTTGTTCATCTTTCAAGGGTTGCTTTAAATTTTATCTGCAAACTGAAAAAAGATCATTTTAATACAAGTCTCTCTGCAACAACATAATCTCAGAAACATAACTGTTTAGGACAAAACGGTAAAAACCACAGTATTTTTCTGGTACATTTACTTTGAAATATGTTTCTCACGTTATATATGACAACAATTACACATAATTGTGATCACAGTGAATGTTATGATGCCCAGTGATAACTAGGCAGCTGTTTGTTAACTGACGTGATACCGACATTTTTTTACCACTTATTAAAAATTTTCTTTTATATCTTTAACATTAATATTTTACTGTCTCCATAGTTCCCAACACTTTCCTGTTTTCCATGCAGCTATTACATGTAAGGCAGTGCCTATTTCAGTATAAATTCCCAGATGCTGTCAGCAAGATTATTTTACACACTTTTCCTCATCCCATTTTTACAACCACCACCCCCCCTCTTACCATTCTCTGAAACAACATTCACAGCCATTGTTGTGATATCTTGAATACAAGCAGCTTGAAATCTTTCACTAGGAGGAGTGCCGTAGGTGCTCAGTCCAGTTGCTTTATTGATGTATATTGTCTTACCCGAAGAAGCATCAAAATCTTGCAGCCAGACAGAACAACACATATCACTCCTGGAATTGCCTGTGCTTGTGTTGTCTGCAGAGAATTCCAAGTTACTTTGTAAGGTCACATGGGGAACCTCAGTATCTTTATTATCTTGTTCTGAGGATTCATCTAATGTACTTTTATCTTTACAGATCGTGCTAGTACAATCATTTTTAGCAGGCAGTGATAAAATACTGCCTGAAGAGACTGTGTACTCCCCTTCTACACTGCTGAGTGGTGACGAGCTGACAGAACTCTTCACAGACTCTGCTACGGCATCATCTGATTGCGAGCACGCAATCCCCTTAGAAACACTGTCATTACGTTCTCCCACTTTTTCCACTAAGGATTTATAAGTTTGACAAGTGTTATACAAAAAATCACTATTTGAGGATTCAAGATCAAAAGAGTGGTCATCTTTTCTATTTGAGTCTGTTTGGAATTGTTCACCAAGTTGTTCTACTTCTTTGTGGTCAGTTTTCATTCTAGACAGTTTGGATGATAAAGATCCTGAAGATCTTTTACAACTTGGGTTTTTTTTACTAACCAGGGAATAATCAGACAATGTCAAAGGACTCTGACAAAGGGTTCGTTTGTCCTGTGATGTTTCTCCACTGCAAAATAAAGTCTTTTCCAAAGAACCAAAAGCTTGGCTAGCTTTATTAGAATCTGTACCTTCCACAGGTGGAATTTCACAAGTGCTCAAGTTACTGCGATTGACACTGTCATTCTTTGAAAAGTCACAATTAGTTTGTGAATTAAGAACCATTAGATCTAATTCACTTTGCTGTGACATGGGTGTTGGTAGCATAGACTCGACACTCCCATAGTATCTCCTGAACTTTTCTAACGAACCCAGCTGCGTGGACATGCTCAGTTTCTTAGAGGACTGAGGCCTTGGCACAGTTATTTGCCTTCTAGTGCTTTTTATAACAATTTTCTTGTGAGGAATACCTGAGGAAGTTGGCAGTGGCAATTCTGTATCATTCGTTTCATAACCTCTTTTACTAGTGGCAGTAGGCATGGCTATTTCCCCCCTCACCTGATGAGACGAAGTTTTGTTCTTATTACCATCAGTCATGCGTGCTTCTCTGGTATAAGAAGCTGTATATTCTTTATTTGTATTACTGGAAATACCCCTATCATTTAAAGACTGAATAGCAACATTCAATTTGTGGCCAAAAATACCCTTGTCACTGACAGAGCCAGGCCTACACTGTGTGTTTAATGCAAGACTTGCTTCTGTTTGTTCAGAATCATGTGGGGGCTCACTTTGCATAACACATCTTATGAGGCCTGTAGAGGACAGCTTTGATGGTATTGAACTAACAGCCCCTCTTCTGGCATCATCTATCACTTCAGCTGTTTCCCTGCCTCTTCTTGCATTACAGTGTCTCATCATTGAATTTCCAGAGACAGTTTCAGGTCCCACTGCTGTTTCAGTAGGGTCTTCTCTCTCAGGCAGTGACTGAATAACATTCTTATTTAAAACACAGACCTTATTGCTTTTCTGTGTTACTTTGCCTTGGTGGCTGCCCACATCTTTTATGTTATTCTGAGCACAGTCCTGCGGGCCACCACAATTGTCTATTTCTCTTATTTCTGATCTGGCCCCTCCACTGAAAGAGGAATGAAGACTTTCTGAAGGTTTCAGATGAGTATCAGATGCTTTTTGGGAACTGTTAGTGTATTTTGGCTCCTGTTCTGAGGTATTTGATTTAATTAAATCAGAAGCTGTGTCATCTTCATCGGGCAATGGAATCTCTGCTTTATTGTTTCTATATGGGTTAGATAACTCAACAGTCTTCTGATTTGGGGTGATTTCATTTTCCTGTACATTTTTACTTGCCTCTGTAAGACTGGAATTTTTTTTTCGAGTAATGGCCTTCCTTTTGACATCTTTCGATTGCAAGGTACACATTTCATAGGAATCCACAATTTCATCACACGCTTTCTTGAAACTTTCTTGGATGCTCTTCTTGTCAAGGATTGAGGCCTTCAGAACTGGAGCGTTGTGCAAACAAAAGTCATTATCTTCATTAAATTCTCTGATGTCCACACTACACGGTTCGATAAATAAATGTTCTCGTTTCAAAAATATTTTCACTCCTTCCTCTACGCAAGTTAGAAGAACATCCCAGTTCTGGAACTCAATTAGAGTCTTTGCAGGTTCCAGGCACACATCGTAGTCACTGTATGCACAGGTCACATTGAGAATAAAGATCCCATACAACTCTGGCCCACAGCGATGGTGGACAGGACTTGAACCAGCCTGTCGGCTTGCAGGGACACCTTTTGCTTTGCAAATTACACTTTCTTTTCTTAATAAAAAATCAATTAGTTTATGTATTCTTGTCTTTAAAACAAGCCTTCTATTCACATACAAGAACTGCATATTCTTATTGTAATGTCCCTCAGTACTGATAAAACCACTTATCTCGAATCCCCCAGACTTGTGATTTATTTGTCGCAACTTCTGGGATCTGCCCAGTCCATAAATTTGACAAAACCGAGAGCATACATCTCTTGTCTTAGGGAGCTGAAGCACCATAGAACAAGAAACATCATTCCTTAAAGAAAGGGAAACAGAAGGATGCATTAGCGAAACAGCCTCTATCTTCTGTCTCACTCTTTCAAATTCCAACACGGGATCCATACACTTTCTCCTCACCGGTAACTGATGGAACAGATTACACACAGTGACTGTAGTTCCGCCACTTGGTCTGTTCAATTCAGCTTCACACACTTCCAGTGCTTGCCCATTGTGAAATAGTTTCACAAAGGTTTTGGCTGTCCTGCTGGTCTTAGATGAAATTTCCACTACACTGGCCATGTTGGCTATACTTGCCACAGCCTCCCCTCTGAAGCCATAGAATGTCAGTTTCTCCAAGTCTCCCACTGAGCTGCACTTGCTGGTGAAGTACCTCTTTCCAATAGCCTTTAAGTCTTCTTTCCCCATCCCAGAGCCATTGTCCACCACCTGGATCTTAAAAGCTTCCAAATCCACCCTGATAGCTACACAGGTTGCTTTGGCATCAATGCTATTGAGGACAAGCTCCTCAACACACTGGCCAAGGGAGCTGACAGTCACTCCAGAACGCAGCCTGGCTCGCACATCTTCCACCAAAGGTTTGATCATGTCAAAATCTGATGGATGAGAAACACAAGAAACTGTGGGGAGCTCACTGCTCCATGTTCCTTAAAAGAACACCTTGGGTGGAGAGAAAAGGGGGAAAAAATAAAATTAAAGAAATACAAATTGAAGGCCTGAAAAAACCTTTCATTTTTTTTGCATTCACTCTCATAAATATACTTTTCTTAGTTTTCCTGACATTCAGAGGTTTCCTCTGTGATTACTTTCCTGCTCAGGCTCTGTCAGTGCCCTCAGGGCAGATGGCCAGAGCCAGAATCTAAGCTCATCACTAATAACATACTTGGTTCTCAAACTTAACGTACCCAAACCAAACTCCTACCATATGAGGAAAAACTCAAAGGACTTGCAAGCAAGAGTATTTTACTGTAATTTTCATCAGAATTATCGCATAAATATCACCAAGAACTGGGCAGAGAGCTGCTTTCCTTTAGTTTTTACCTCAATGTCCCCACATAAATTCACAGTGCCTCATCCTGATCAAATAGCATCTGCTGCTACTTGTCGAGGAAAGGAGTAAAGCAGGCTCGGGAACGGGTGTCAGGCAGTGAGCAAGCTGTTAATGCAAAAGGGAACCCACTATTTCCCAGTCCTTGACGCCTACTGGTTTACTAGTGGCCTTCGCCCTTTCTGGGGATCCGGTGCCGCCGCTGTGACAGGACTCCAGAGGCTCCCTGACCCCGGGGGCTGAGGAGGGCGCGCTGCCCGGGTTCGTTCGCGCCCTCCCCTCACGTCCAGAGCCCCCTCTGCTCCCGCTCCCCGTCCCGGCCCCGTTCCCTCAGCACCCGCCGGACCGGGGCGCTCCCGCAACCGCCCCGGCGCGAGACCAACCGTGCCGGGCCGCCGGGCCCGCGTGCAGCTCCTCCCACAGGCCGACGGCGCGTGCGCACCTGCGCGCGAACGAGGGTGAGAAGGGGGATCTAGACGGGCACGCCGGGAATTGTAGTCCCGCCCCGGCCGGAAGCTCTGCACGGCTGTGGGAAACACGCCTTCCCCCGGGCCATTCCCGCAGAGCGGCATCGGAAGGCTGCTCGGGACAACCCCGCTCTCCCACCAGGGCGAGTATCTGCAACGAGATCCCGCTCCGAGGGCTGCCATCCACTCAGCCCCCCAAGCGACACACCCATTCCACACAGGAGGTGAGCTGCAGGCAACTTTATTCTACAGAAAACGTGAACAAAGTAAGTTGTTTCTCAGGCATTTAGTGCACAGACATGATGTTTTTAGCAATTTTCTGTGTCAACGTTGATCCTGTGACTTTCTTCACGTCAGCGCCACACTCTACACATTACAGATTCCACTCACGTATGACCCCACACACTGTGCGCACTTAGAAACAGAGGCTCTGCCCCTGAACAGCCCCTTTAACAAAGACAGCACAGCTCTTCCTGTACCCACCAGAATTCTGTGACAGGCTGAGCGTCAGACTAACAGTGCAGCAAAACAATAAATTAGAAATGTAGTAAAATAAAACTCTCTAGAGCTGAATATTGGCTGACTGAGCGAGCAGGGAAGAGAGGAAATGTTCCGTGAGGGTAGCTCCCGCTCCGGATTTTGCTTCTTTCTGGACAAAGTCACTTCAAAATCTGGAAATCCTTGTGCTCTAGAGCCTCAATCTTCTTCTCATTGCTGAACTCCGCTTGGCTGATGCGGGACTGGGGACTTCCTATCTTCCTGAGCCATTCCTGCAGCTCCCGCACCCTGGCAGTTGGGCCCTGGATTTGCCCTTGCACAGTGCCACGGCTAGTATTTTGGACCCAGCCAACGAGTCCTAGTCTCTTAGCCTCCCCCTGACAAGACAATGCAGAGAAAAATGAGGTTATCCAAACTGTAACAGAGCAACAAAACGACATTCACATACAGGAACCAATTTTGTTGGTGACGCACAGGCCTCCAAGGAAGTTCCTGTGGGTCAGGCAGCAGGAAAGGAGCACAGGATTCGCTCAACTACTAATTATATTCTTTCACGCGAAAAACTGGGGCTGAGATGCACTCTTCAGCCATGCTTACGTAACCCGGCCGGGCTGCCAGCAGCACCGCGATGCCGGCCCCGCTGCGGCAGAGGCTGGAGCCCGGCCCGGGGCCACGGCCACGACCCGCCCGCCCACAGCTCAGCCCCTCGGAGGCACCCACAGGACGGGCTGGTAGTGGGCACGGCGCAGGCTGGCAGGCAGGGCCGACCGCCCCGCGGGCCCGCGGCACGCACCTGTGTGTACTTGCGAAAGAACACGCCCTGCACCTTGCCGAACACCTCGTAGTCCACAGACACCAATGCCTCGCCCTCCGCCATGGCGGCACGGCCTCCACCGCCTCCTCCTGCCGCCGCCGCGTCCCGCTGCGCCTGCGCCGCGCCGCTGGGGGCGAGGCCTCACTGGGCCCTGCGGCCAATGAAGAGCGAGCTCGGGGTCGGACCGATCGCTCATTCGCCGTCTTATGAATAATGCATGCCGCACCCTCATGAATAATGCATTTGGGGCGCCCGCAGGCACCGCCCCCTTCCACGGTGGAGCGTTCGCGCGGCGAGGGAGCGATCCTGGGTCTCGCGCCAGTCTCCAGGCAACAGCACGCCAGGCACAGCTCCGCGCCGGGCAGGGCTCCATACCGGGGCCCCGGGGGCCGCGGGCAGCAGCGGCGGCGGGAGGAGGGGCCGGGGCTCTCGGGCCGACGCAGTTCGCCGAGGAGGGAGGCCGGGCGGAGCGCCGGGCGCGGCCCCGCAGGTAACCCCGCTCGCCCCTCGGCGTGTGCGCCCGGCACACCTCGGGAGATGTAGAACGAACCATGGGAAGATTGTGCCGAGCTTGGCCGGACGCCTGCGTGTCAGACCCGTGTGGCACACAGGTGGATCACAATGCCAAAACTGAAGGGACACGTTATCCCGGGGAGTGTAACAATTCCTCTGTCAGTGCGGCATATTTCTGTTGCTACCACGATAAGGCAGGGCTCAGGCAGAAAGGGAAATAAAAGTGTTTCTTATTTCTGGCTGCATGAATGATTTGGACTGGGAAAGGTGGCATGGGAGCTCCCTAGATGGAAGGAATGTAAAGACTTACAGAACACAGAAAAGTTACAAAACCTTTGCTAATACTTATTATAACCTCTCACTATAGCCTCCAGGCATAGACTATTAGGAGAAAATTTGTCCAGTTTTGGATAAGATAGTCTGTAATGGCTTTGCTTCTAACCTCAGGCTCTTTCTCAGGCACTGAATGGCTTTTTTTCCACCGGTGGCTCCTGTGGTGGCAGCTACTAAGATTGTTCCTGGTTCCCAGCTAAAACACCAGAAAAACAACTTTCAGCATGAACTCATAACTGACAAAGAGAAAAGTTTGAAGGATCCCTGTGCCCAAAAGAGCCAAAGATGTTCTTATTCTATTTTAGCAGAAAACACTCAATACAGGCATGGAGGCTTCTGTTCAGCTGGACTACAGAGTAAGCACCTCACCAGCCAGGCCTGTACTCTGTCAGCTACATCAGTAGACAGGCAGAAAGAAGGAGTGGACCGTGCATATCCTCTGAAACCAATTTCTCACCACAACAGTGTGAGTGTTCCAGTGGTCAACACAGCACAGCTCGGAAGTTCCCCATACATGCAGGAAACTCCAAATAGTAAATCAAGCTCAATAAGCAAAGGGAAGGCTCCAGTAGGGAGATCTGCAGCACTCTGTCCTTGGACAGTAGAGCCTGAACCATCAACCCCCCATCTATACAGGAGGGAGCTGGCCTACATCCTAAAGTTGGAGGCAGATGGAAGGAACCTAGAAGAGGCAATTCAAAAGAAAGAGGCCCTTCTCAAAGAGAAACTGAGGAGAACAAAGGAGACAATTAGGAGGATTCAAAGAGAGAAGGAGGTTATCAAGGCAGAGCAGAGAAGAGACAGAGGAGCTGAGAGGACCCATGAGCAAAAGGCTGCAAGGCACCCTGAAGAGGAAACTTTCAGAGTTGCAGTGAGGCCAGGTGGTGGGGTCTTTGGTGGGGTACAGTCTGCAGAGGCCATTATCCCCAAGCCTGGCACCACTCACCACCCCCAAGAGCTGGCTGTGGGGAAACTCAGGAAGGAGCAGCTGGTGGCAAACAACAGCAAAATGCGAGACAGCATACCCATGGAGCATTTAGCTTCTTGTTCAAAGCTGGCCCCAAAACATAGCCCTTCTCCCTCTGCCCTCTCAGACCAAGATTCTGGTGACCACTTGTCTGCAGAGATGCTGTATGTGCAGGCTCCCAGTGCTGTGCAGCAGGAGGGGCTTGGACAGTGCAGCTTCTGCAATCGTAAGTTTCTCTGCTCCAGGCTTGAGAAACACATGAGTATCTGTGGCAAGAACCAAGTCTCCAAGAGGAAAGTGTTTGACTCCAGCAAGGCCAGAGCTAGGGGAACAGAACTGGAACAGTATCAGCAGTGGAAGAGCGCAAGGAGTCCTCAGGTAATGTGCAGTCCATTTGCCTCTCTTAGTCCACATCTACTGCTCGCATTCAGTCCATCTCAGCTTCTAGTTCTGAGTGAGACATGAGCACCTTCGCATGTACGCAGGGCTAAGGGATACAGTCCAGCTATTGCCTCTAAAAGGTTTATGACAAATGGAAAAATAGAACCATTTAAAATCTAATAGATGGAGGTGGCAGTCCTGTCTTTATAATGTGTTAAGGATGTACTCCTGGAGAAAGGTCACTCCTTGCTGTAGTTAAGATGCAGACTGGCTCTGCTGCAGTAAAGCTCTGTGACATCAGGAGCTGCAGGGAGCTGAATGAAAATCCAGGTAATAACACAGTCTCTTAAAATGAAGACAGAGGAAACATGCAGCTCTGTTCCTGCAAAGCAGCTATAGCAACCCTCTCCAGTTCCTTGGCCCCACTGCTTGTTTTTCTGGTTACTTTCAAGCTCTTTCGAAGTCCTGTTGTTTCCATCAGAAATTCCTTCACATCCTCCTTGGTGCTGGTCTTCTTGATTCCCTTTGTGGGACTCAGCTTCTCAGGGAGGGTTTTACATCAACAAGGAATGCCCAGGGACAGGTGACCTGGGTTGGGCTCTAAATGCAAGATTGAGAATGGAAGCTGATAGTGGTCCCAGTTCCTCTGACTGCCTTTCCCTTCTGCAGAGTGAGACATCACCCAGAAGGAACAACTGGAAACAGAAGCATGAGGCTCTCATCCAGACCGTGTGCCAGGCCCGCCAGCTGCAGCAAGTCCTCACTAAGGGAGGGAAGGTGTCTGACCTGCCTCCATTGCCTCCCACGGAAAACCCAGACTATGTTGCCTGCACCTACTGTGGACGCCAGTTTGCTCCCCGAGCAGCTGAGAGACATATTCCCAAATGCAAAACCATAAAGAATAGGCCCCCACCCCCACCACAGAGAAGGCGCTGCTGAGGCAGTGCCCAACTGTACCTGCTGCTGTGATTCCCTGCCTCTTTTTTTGCCAGGTTTCCAGCTATAGACACTTGTGCTTTCCCTAGTCTCAAGACTGGCTGCAAGCTTGTGTGTATAGTTAGTGAACAGCTCAGGATGTATAAGCAGAATACTAGAACTTGTGTACTTTGACCTGTGCCCTTGGGTTCACCCCACGTGGGATGCCCCTTTCCTCAGCACAAGAAGCTTAGGATCAGACATTCAGGGGTTCAGAAAAGCTAGCAGTAGCAGGCACTTACTGTTTGAATCCATATGTCAATTCATGTGCATAGAACAGCAGAGATACACTGAACCAGCCAGGCCCTTGAGGCAACAGAACAACCATCACAATCAATAATTAGATTTAATATAAAAAAAATAGGCCAAATTTCTAGGGAACTCTAAAAACAAAGCTGGCACCCTTTCTTGA